CACATTTAGACACACCATTAAAAGTTATGTGTTGCATATAAGCTTTTATGCATGCAGTGCTTAAATTGTGCTGTATATAAAAGTGTTTGTGTTTTATGGAATTATGGTTTCTGTGTTTTATGGAATTAATATATATATATATATATATATTGTTGTGTCTGTACAGGCTTATAATAGATTGATGCACAGAGAACCGATGATTGCTTGATAAAATTTATTTTACTAAAAGAAACAGTTGTCAGTTCTGAAACATTACAAAAACTACTCGTACAGCTCTTCACAGTATCACAGAATACACTCAGTAGTTACAGTTCAAACTGCGAAGAACGTTAAACACAGTGCAGTGCAAAAAAAACATCTAAAGTATGAAGCTAACACAGGTATCTCAATACTCTGAACTCACGCTAAACTAACCAACTCAGAAACTGATGCTTTCTCTGGTCTTATATAGTTTTCCCCAGGCCACCGAGAAGTCTCTAGTATTTTCCATTTCTCGAAATTACTGGAAGGCATACAAGGGCTGAATACAGTTACAGTTGCATACAGAAACACCAGTTACAGTTATAAAGGGACCAGACCAGAATGTTAAGTAGATTTGCTCCTGTATTCTTACTTTTCTGGTAAAGCTTTCAGGGTTGCTACACTACCTGAAAAACCGGAGAAAGTCAGGGAATTCAAAAATTAACTAAAAAAGTCAGGGAAAAATCAGGGAATTTAAATATTTTAATCAAAATCTTTAAAAGTTGGGGAATTTCCTACGGTATTCACCCCAAAAATCAATTTTTACACCAATGTTAGAAGTGATCACTTTTCTTGACAAATTATGTATTGCATGAGCGTCATTCAGGCAACTGATGTAAAGTCAGTTTTCACAGCTCCAATCAGATTGTCTTTTAGAAAGGCAAAGCAAGTTTTCACCAACTTTGGTTTTCAGTAACATCGAGAGATTCGCATCCATATTTTCAGTGCATGTTGAATAAAAGAAAATGCCTTTTCATTCTCATATAAAACAAAGTTGATTCAATTCCAGTATATAGTACAAGCAGGATTTGGCAACGTTATAATGAGCAGTAAACGGGTCACTTTGGTGTTGGAGACAATTTTCAAAATCGTGCCAAGGATGATGTACTGTATACTAGGATTTTCCCACAAAAACTTTTAACTCTTTTTTTATCTTAACACAAATGCCTTATTTGTCATTTTGAAGTAAAATAAAAAAATAGTAAGCAGTCATCTAGGCTAACCATTTAATATAACTAACTATATCCGCCAAAATATTGTTGGTTGTTGTAATTCAATTTTTAAGTAATTAACTTTATTTTAATGTTATTCATATCATTTAATGTTGTTTCTTCCTTTTAAATGCATTTATTATGAGTTAATAATCCTTTCAAATTTTAGGCAATTTTCTCTAACATACTCCTGCAACTAATTCTTGCAGTATGATGACATATCATTACGAAATTTAATGCACATATTTTTTGCTTAATGTATGCTGCTAAATAAATGTAAAATACCTGAATTTGTTTAAAAATATCATTAAGTAGATTTCTTTCTTTCGCTTAGCTGCAAAATATCCCCCAAAAAGACATTTTTTTAATCCAGATTAGGCACATTCTTAATCTTCAGTAGAGAAAACAACTGTGATTATAGTTATAATAGTAATGCTTTAAGAAAGTGATTCATCATATGTGATTTTCAAATTTTTGTGTTTTCAAGTGGTACCATAATTAATTTACCTCTCAGCACAGCAAACGCCATTATGCTGATAGAGTGGAATTTTCTTAAAACACACCTGGTAAACCTGGAAAAGTCAGGGAATTTCCTTCTCCTGTTTGAGTGGTAACCTGAGCTTTGTTTCCTTAGATTTTCTTGTTATGTTATAAAAAAATACTAAATTTCAAATATAATTTCACTAAAATTATTTACATATCTACAAAATTCATAACATTGCCCCTTCCCAAGGACTACACGTCCCAGGCTATGCAATCCTTCGAGAGGAAGCCATACTTTCAACTAAAGAAAATTGGTGCAATACCAAAACAATAGTTTCATAAAACAAATCAAATGCTCTTAATAAATAAATGCGTAAATTTATAAACAAACAGGACCATGGTCTTAATATTCTGTTTTCATTATGTACAGTATGGAGTCTGTGTACTATGGCCATAGTAAGAGGCTATGCTATTGTAATAATATAATGACTTCTGAATCTGAACTACGATGACATACCCCCAATTTAGGACTGTATAAGGACCGTCTCAAGGGGACTGTAGTTTAGAAGAAGTCCTTTCCGTCTAATCAGATTCAACTACCATACCTTGTCACGTTCGTTGAATTGATGTCCTGTAACTTTCTTCTCATACATGTCTTCATCATTTCCATCACCAAGTTGACTCTTTCTCAAGCAAAACTGTGCATCACTACAAACCGTGTCTGGAGATCTTGAATGTAGTTCTCAGGCGATGAACTTGATTTTAAATTTAGTTTAATTTAAATTTAAATATGCTTCAGGACACTTGGTGAAGTAATAAATGATAATATATTTGTTGTCATCAGCAGCTTATGCAGGGATCCATTGCTTCAGTAGAAGCTCTCTTGAAATCTGTGCAAAGTCTTCATTATTCCGAATTGGCCTCCTGTTAGGCTGCTATGTAATAATATATGGGTGGCAGGACTTAACTTTAGATTGGCTTCTTTCATTTTTTAATCATCTTTTTAGGATTTTCTAAATACTTTTCAAAAGTTTTCCCAACGATGATCCAGTATATCAGACGGGCTTCGTAGCGATGACCTCTGAGCATGGTCTCCATGCGGTGGTCGAACATTGCCTGGTGCATTACATAATCCAAACAGCATCACTTTGAACTGCCAGAGTCGTCCTTTCTGGGCCATTAAGGTGTATATCTATTTGTCAATATCCACTCTGTAAATGAAGTGTGGAAATCGCTTCATTCGAGAAAGAGTGTGAAATTATCGTCAGTTCTCAGAAGAGGATAGCTAGCTGCCTTTCTTTGTAACCTATTTGAACCGGTGATAGTGCAAAACCTAGTTGAACCGCTTTTCTTTCTGACTAGGACGATAGGAGAGATGCAAGGACTTGCCAAAAGCTGGATAATGTTGCTTTCTTGCATGTTCTTTAGCAGTTTTTCTACCTCTTTTTGTTTAGCAATCGGTAGATGTCTTGGATGTTGCTTGATTGGTGGATGATTAATCGCCTGCATCAATTTTCAGCTGTGTCAGACAGACTATTTAGATGTACGTCAGAAGATGAGCAGAAGAAATCTTGAATATAAAAATCTGCAGCATTTCTCCCTTCATAGCTGAGTTGGGCATTCTGCAGTTGCAGCATTTCTCCCTTCATCGCTTAGTTGTGCATGCTGCAGTAACTCAAATGTTAGGCTCTCTGAAGGCAGACTGTGGAGAACTATTCGTTTGTTTAATGCAGGTCACTGCAACATGCTGCAACTACTTAGCATTTCTTAATGACTTTAGCCTAATGATATACGTTGGCAAGTCTCACTGGGATGAGAGTCCTCAATAGGTCAGCAAGTGCTGATGCAACTAGTACTTCTTTCGGGCTGTTACAGTTCATAGGATATTATGCCATACCTGAAATTTCTGTTTCCAGCTATGGATTCAGGAAGTAAAACTTATGTTCTTGCTGCTACTGTGATATTGTTTTGAGCTATGATTTAGTGGACAGATTTAAATCTTCATTTTTAATTCCAAACAGGGTTACATCCTCAGAGGCACTATGTAGTTCTTAATTTTTAAAGTCCAAGGAAAAACTAAATTCCCGTAGAAAGTCTAATCCGAGTATGCAGAGGTCGGTAATATTTTCCACATATGCCATGTGATGGTAGATGGCACTTCCAAACATAGCATAATGTTTAATTTTCATTCAATGTTGATTTTATGCTTGGACGCAGTCTGGAGGATACCGCAGGATGCCGTCCAAATGAGTTTACCTTCCAGTTCTTAAGCCAAATCTTTCCAGATGATGGTAAATTTGGCTGCAGTATTAATGGTCATGTTGCAAGAAACTCCATTGATATGTTCCATGATGAAATGTCAGTTACTGTTGCCAATCATTAGAGAAACTAGAAATGCCTTAAAATGGGGCTTCTCATTACGTGGCAGCCTCTGCTTTGCAAGATGGTCACTGTTTTTTTTTCTGCATCCTTGCTGGGAAGTGGTCTGATTTTCTAGCTTTGGTGTTCTACAGTTTATTCGTATGTGACTTTCAGCACTGCAGTTCTGACACTTTAGGCTCAGTATGTTGCCACTCCTGTTCCTCATCAAGGCATTGACCTTTGGTTAAATCTTCTAGATGAGCAGTCAGTTGATCTACTGGCTCCTGAATTTTTAAATTTTGAATGCATGATAACCATATTTTTTTGCAAATGTTATCCTAGTTTGCATTTCTTTCTATATAATTTTTTTTAGTTCTGAGTATGTTTATTTAAACAGGTGTGACCAAAATTGTAGTTTAAAACTTGCCCTATTTGACTCATTTACTGAATTAAAGCCAATCATTCTAGTGATATTTACTTGTGTGATCAGCCTCTACAGTGTTTAAAATAAATTTGTAAATAAATGATAAACTTAGTATGTTTGTTTTTTGTGTTGGTATTGCTTCATGTAGTGTCTTGCTTCAATTGCAAAAAAAAATTTATGTAAGAATTTTTGTATAGATGCATGCTCAAAAACTATTTTCCTGATTAATTTTTTCCATCATTCCATATGTATATATGCTCCATTGTTATAGGAGCAGAAACTTGAGTAAAGAATGTGGAATTATAATTTATTGAATGTTTTAGCATTATGCTGTATTAATATTTTTTTTTTTATATTCTGAGTAACGCATCTTTTACTTCAGATTTTTTTTCATTGCTTATTTTTATAGTCTAAATTTCCATTTCATTGCTGAAAATTTTGTATTCATGTGCATACTATTGTAAAAAAATATTTTTTGACTGCTTGATTTTTAAATTTAGTTACCAAAGAACTAGTCAGACTCTGAAGACAGCGACTGAAAGAACGTCATCTGTTCTTGGGTCTTTAGGTGCCAGCATGACTAAAAAGTTGGGAGAAGTGAAGTATGAAATTAAGTTTTTTTTTTTTACTTCTGATATTTAAACATTGATAATTAAAAGTGATCTATATATATATTAGTGTATAAGTGCCGTGTTATGGGTTTTATCGAAGGAGACTAAGTATGTCAGAAAATTATAATCCTCTCTAAGCAGGCCACCATGGTCTGGTTAGAGAGGTAAAATTCAATACTGCTGTTTATATTCTCATAAATAATGATCACAGTAAGGAGATGGTTGTTAATGGCAGAGTTTATTGTATCTTGAATGTGAAGAATAATGATTACAGTTATGCATAATATGCACCGATAAATTTGTGAAAATTGGAATAAAAGTGGAAATGAGAACAGTCATGCTGTAATAAATTTTTTAATCTGACTGATATCATAAAAACTTAATTGATTTAAAACCTTTTAATTTAAAAAAGAACACTAGACCAGCAAAGCAGAGTACTGCTAAGTGAATATTATTGCTCATTTGAAATTGCAAAGTGTTCCACTGTGGAATGGTTGGTATAATGTTTCATGTCTTTACAAATGAGAACATGTGGAATGGACCAAGCTTTTGTAATTATTTTTTGTCTTTCAAAAATATGTTATCCCCCCAAAAAATAAACTCAGCTATTAAGATAATATGGTTGTTATCCTGACAGTTGATCAGTGTTTTGTCATAAAATGGCTTCACACTTTGCTTGGACATGTTCCATAATGATGTCTTGTTGGGGACTAGCCTTTTTTTACTGCTTCCCCCTCCACAGTTTCAACTTTGAGTAACTGTTCCTGTATATTTTACAATGAATTCTTTCCTGTATCGCTGGAATCCTTTCATGAAGATGAATAAAATATAGCACAGAAAAATTAATTTTCCTTAAAAGAGTCAACATTTAAATTTCTGACGACTTATTGCCAGTAATTAACAGCATGGCTGATGGGAGCTATGGGGACAGGTGAAATGCAGCTAATTCTTCCTTGCATAGCTCCTCAGATTCCAGAATATAGAGGACCTTAATTTTGTCTCATTTGCTTGAAAACCCTACTGCACTTGAATGGTGCATGCTTTTAAAAAAGATAAAATTATGTTACATTTAATGCACTTTAGATAAAATTATACATAAATATGTTACTGTCTAAAATATTAAGGGTCTAGTCTAGACCCTCTAGTCCACAGATGGCATGTGATTGATATATATATATATATATATATATATATATATATTTACGATTGATTAACTTGTTTACTTATATCTTTGATTATATATATATAATGTTGTACTTTTGGCGAAAGATGAAAACCATTCATGTTTAGTCATGGCCAAAAAAACTTCTGCATAGATGACTGGACATAATGGCATAGTGGATGATTGGATAGAATTTTAGAAGAAGCACGACCAGCTTGATAGTTGAGCATCATTTATTCTTGAATGACGAATTTCTTCACACATAACTGGTAGAAGACTAGGGGTGCTAAGCACTAAACTAAAAGACACAATTTCAGATATGCAAATGCATTTTAATTAATAGCAAATATCTAGCAGAGGCTGAGCGACACTCTGTCAGCAGGCAGCCGAAAAGAGAGGGAGACTACACAGTTATTAGTTATTTATAGTACTAGGTGTACAGCTGAGCTGTGATTGGTTAATTTTAGGTTGTTATGTAACATGGAAGGATCTTGAATTTGGGAGAACAGATGAATTTAGAGAAACACCATCAAATCTAAAATACTTATTTTTGAGGTTGCCAATTATTTTTAAAGCGGCCGTCGTGGTTAGTTATATCTTACATATTTATACACACACACATGTGTCTGTGTGTGTATGTATGTATGGAACTAGGCAAAATTTAACTTAATTTTGGTTTTACAGGAAAAATATACAATTCAAAGAAGACTGTCACAGGTTCCTCAAAATGCATAAGTTTTTCTGTGAGACCAACATTAGTCTTGGGTTGAATTTTGTCTAATTTTAAATTTCAAAGTAACATGCCTCTTTTCCTTTTAGTCTGTAATATGCTTTGAATATTTAGAGTAGTATGTAAAGATTAACATAAATTTATATATATTTATTTCTTAGAAATTCATCTACTTTCCGTTCATTTGAAGAAAGAATGGGGTCTGCCTATACGAATGTTCGAGTAAGTTTATTTTAAAACTGTTTTTATAAGATATTGAGATTTTTATATTTCATGTTACTATAATAAATTAATTTTTACAGTCTCGTATGGGGACACCTCGGAGCACCAGTCTGTACAACTTTGAAGATGCAGTAAATGCCTCAGAGAGGCGAGGCACTGCCTCATCGGCTAGCACTCCAATAATTCCAGAGAAGAGTCCTATCCCATAAATCTATTTTTGCTCTTGTTGTATATAAACGTAGAATCATCTGTAGTTTCAATTTCTGCCATATTTTATTTATAATTTGGTAAATTTGATTTAATCATGTTATGTTTGTGTTTATGTTTTAAAACTGTTGAAAATAAAAATTAATGCTATTAATCAGTGGTGCCATAACACAAAAAAAAAAAAATTGCATACTACATTTATATGTATGAAAACATATGGGGGAAAATAAGCTATTATGCTGAAACATTCTTTTATTACACATGGTTTATATAAAATGTATAAATTTTTGTGGTTTGTTTTTAAATTGTAGCTAATTATTTTATTCTATGGGGTTTCACAATTCTTTTTTATTGCTATGAAATACCTACATTGCATTCTGTCTATTTCTGATATATACTTACTAAATATAGGGCTAATTAATATATATATATGTAATACAGAGTTTCATAAAATGCAAAGTGGTTTCATTCACTCTAATCTACTTGCACTTTGAATCAGTAATAGTTCATCAGTTCATAAGTAGACTTTTACTATCTTTAGAATTCTTATGTTTGTCAAAAATGATATGCTGATTTGTTCTATTTCTTTATGTATTGCATTGTGATAACTGATTGAACCATAGTTTGTTAATGTCAGGAAATATCTGAGAATCGTAAAAATTGATGAATACCTTAAATGTAAAATAAATCATCTACATTCTTATTGTACTTTTCTGAGTTTAGTTTGTTATCGCATAAAGTGGATCCAGAAATTTTAATGGAGACTAGTCTAGTTTAAGGTAGAAGCTAAACAGAATGCTGTAATAAGATACTGAATTATATTGCTCAAGACCTTTCTTAGAATTTCAGCATTGTGAGTAAGAATTTGTTCAAACATAAATTGCATGAAATATAAGTAGGCTTGAATAATAAATATGTAAGAAAAATGGAAGCATTCTGTGAGATTTGTTGTATTTATTTAACATAATGCAAAATCTTTTAACTAATCATAAAATTCAGTAGTAGGGAAAAATTATTGATTATAATGAAAAATATTTCTGTTTGCTTACAGATATATATAGTAAAGCACATTTTGAGGCGATTGGTAGTTCTTTTCAGAATGTATAATTTAGAACACTTTGATGTTATATATTTTGTACTGTAAATTTTGTAGTTTGTTATTGAAGTATAAACATTTGTGAGTTAAATATGTATACCAGCAAAATAAACAAATTTTCACTGTCTTTTGATTTCTAAAATTTGAGTAATTCAGATGCTTCTGTACTTTGTTGTTAATTTCTCTCTTCTGTGACATTTCAGTTGTCTAATCATGTGCCAATAATTATTATTTTAGAAAATTGTTTATAATGTAATAAAGTAATCAGCATTATGCATTACTGCCATAAAATTTTAATTTGAAATAAAATGAGATTTCTAATTTTTATTTCAAAAACGTTATAAAGTTTTTTAAAATCTAGAATCATTTGGAGAGTAGCTAGCTATATTTGGTATTGATTCATACACATCACTGCATCTCTGTAATCTTGCATTTCAAGATGAAAATTGTATTAAAAATGTTGGTGGATTATAAATATTAACAACTTTACAGTGATGTTAAAAATAAATGTTTTGTATTTCATTAAAACAAATGATAGTGTAATGTTTCTTTTGAGTCACTACATGGTTCTTTCAAACTATTAACTTTGTGCTGCTAGATGTTATTGGAATTTGCACCTTTCCCAGATGATGAAATCTATTTCTGAATTTATCCGTCCTAATTTGTTTCAGTGGATATGCTTAAGTACTACTGCCATGTGAAAATGAAATACAAGTGTCAAGAAGTCAGGTCCAACAATATGTTAAATTTAATAGTTAAATTACATTGACTTCCTTTTTTAAAAATAAATCTGAGCTTTCTGAGGACTAAAAGAATGCTTTCCGAATTCCTATTTAACACTCTGAATGGGTTAAGTTTCTCTAGTTGAAATTATATTATATCAAATTACAGGTGTATAAAATAGCTGTGTGTAGAATTCTTTGTGTAATAGACATTTTTTTTTTGGCAAAAAAATCCTCTCAATAGTACAAAATGCTTAGGATTACCTTTCTGTGGAAAACTTGATCCTTAGTCCTCTGAAATGTTGCAGATGAACAGAAACCCAAAGGATATTACATCAGGATAAAAGGTGTTACTGCTAAAAGTAATATCTTAATCAAATCAGCATCCATTTTTCAGTACTTTTACAAGGTAATGGTGCTTCTGCAGGTGTTTGCTCTAAGCTCATTTCCCTCCCCCCTCCGATTAGGCAGATGACCGTCATGTGGTTTACCATACTCAGATAACCTTCTAGTAGAATACTGTTATGCATCTTCTTTTTATGGTAGACATAGGCTTTCCCTCCCAAAGTCCTGCTATGCTGCTGTAGTTTTGACTACCAGCATTCAAACTGAATTATAATTTAGAGCAGCAAGAATCACTAATGAATAGCTAAGTTTACTGCTTTATTTTTTAACTATTAAAATGAGGTGCTATTTTGAATAACAATAGCAATAGAATCAAAATTCAAAAGCAAATAATGATGAATAACTACTTGTTGTCATTCAGCATATTAAATATTAATATTAACAAAACATTAATTTTACAAAATAATTAAACACATGCAAAAATGTAAAATACTTAAAGTTAAAAATAATTAGTACTCATTCAGTAACTGAGCCACTACATTAGTCTCTCCACCAGTAACTAAGTTGCATTACAAAAGTGGAGAAATAGGGAGTGACTAGTGTTGCAGTGTTAAACCACTGTCAGAATTTAGATACAATCCTAAAATCTCATAAGTAAACATAGTTCTACGTGTACGAGAATGTTTTTGATCCACTTAATTTGAGTTATGTTTTTGATCCACTTAATTTGAGTTATGTTTTTGATCCACTTAATTTGAGTTGTGCAATTTGTTGGGGTTAGGTTTTGTCAACTGAGAATTCCCCTGCACTAAAATATAAGCTGGTTTCAAGCGATCAAGAGGTATATTGAAATGTTTTCTTTCTATGCTAATAGTAAAATATTTATCTTTGCCATCAATGACAGTGAATGGTCCATCATAAGGACGTTTCAGAGGTTCTTGTTACCCGATCTGTTGTTCGCTGAAATACATAACAACATTTTTAGATTTTATTTACAAATATCTGCTGCAATGACTGAAGGTATTAACAAAAGTCTCTGATGCTGTCTGGATACTTGGCTTGTTGAAAAATTCTCCAGAAAGTCTGAGACTCTGGCCATAAACTACATGTATAAATGAATAATTTGTATCCCCTACCAACAGTACTTTTGGTTTGCATAATTTGTATGCAAACCAAAAGTACTGTTGGTAGTGTATCAGTCCAAGACAGGTTGTTGGGAGCTTTTGATCCTGTTTTTAATTTTCTGTGAAGGCACTCGACTTTGCCATTACACAAGGGGTGGCAAGCATTAGTATGTTGTAAATTGATGCCACAGATATTGGATGAAGCTCGTAATATGTCATATTTAAATTGGGATCCATGATTTTAGTGAGTTTGTTTGGCGTTCTGAAATGCACAATCCAGTTGTAAAAAGCTCTTGCTACAGTATCAGCTGAAATGTTATCTAAAGGAGTTGCCTTCATCCATTTCAAAAATCTGTCAATGCAAGTAGGAAAATAAATATTCCCTTTGGATGTAGGAAGTGGTCCTATGAGATCGATATGAATTACAAAAAAATCTTCCTGGTGGCACTTGAAACTCACATAATTTTGTTTTGGCATGCCAGCTGATTTTAGTTCTTTGCCAAGGAATGCAGATTCGTGTCCACAATTGTATATCTTTCCTCATGTCTGGCTAACTGAGTTTTGATGTCATTATTTTTTTAGTCGACTTTATTCCGGCATGTGATAAACCGTTAATTTGTTTAAAGACTTGTTTTCTGAAAGCTTGAGGAATAGTTTTAGGTGTTGTTATCAGACTACAGGTTTTCCCCAAAGGTAGACAACATTGTTTTAAATTTAAGGAAAAAGTGGTTTGAAAACTTCTTGAATCTGTTCATCAGCTATTGTATCATAATCTATTGATGAAATTTTATTAAACCTACATAATGTATTGGATGCAATATTTTCTCACCTTTTACATGTTTGATATTGGTTGAAAACTAGGAGGTATAATGATGTTGGCACACTTATCTAAGTGCTGCTTTTTCAAGTTTTTGATGAAAGGCGAATATTAAGGATTTGTACTTTGGTTCATGAATTGCTTCTGGTTGTATGTTGTTGTTGGTAATGGCTTGAAGTCTTTTTGGTAAAGGACTGGAACTCGTATATAGGTGTATTTAGGTACCTAAAAACTCGATTTGTTGAACAGCGAACACAGATTTTGAAAAATTTATTCTTAAACCAAAGGTATTTAATCTTTTGAAAACTAATTTAAGATGATTTTCATGTTCAAGTACTGGGTGCAGTAAGTATATAGTCTAAATAGGAGAAAACGAATTCTAATCTTCTAAAGACTGTGGGAATAATTCTTAGGAATGTTGCAGGAGCATTTTTAACAGTAAATCATTACATTAAATGTGTAAAAACAGAAAGGAGTGGGGACAGCTGTTTTACATTTGTTTTCTTCTGCAATAGAATTTGAGAGCTTTGAATAAATCAGTTTTAGAGAAAATATTTGTGCCTTTTAAAATATGAAAATCTTCAATCCGAGCAATTTGACATCGATCAGGTATCATCAGCTTAATTGTGTTAGTGTAGTTAATACGCCAATGTGCGTTAAAGTGCTATGGGTTTGCCATATCAGTCTCTCTGGAATAGGATGGTCTGGTGAAACTATAAAACAAGTAAAGTTCTATGGATCTTAACAGATTGAGTCTTGTCTTAGCCTTCAGAATTCCATTTTCAATGTACAGCTGTATTGTATTATAGTCCTCACGTAATTCAGAAGGCCATTCAGACTAAATCATTTTTATTGGAGTGTTTACTGCCCTTTCTGTATCCTCACATGAAACCTCATCTTTCAGCTTCTTAGAGTGTGCCTTGATGTTGTTACAAAATCTGAAAACATGCAATCATGTGGAAAATTCTTTCGTAGCTTGAAAAACAAAAATCTTTCGCTAAATTTCTTTTCCTTCTTGGTAACTAGATTTGTGACAACTGTCTTGCGTCGTTCCAGAAGTGCTTGTTCTGGAACAGGTAATTGTGATATTTGCCAAGACTCTTCCCTTCTTTACAACCAGATTGGATCCTCTCGCCATTGGTTCTGCAGAAGGTCCGACCAGTCACAAATTCGGGTAGGCAAGTCTGCTGGTTTGACTTCCCCATGAACATGTCTCCAACCTTTTACATTGGTGATTTCCCTGATTTCCTTCATTTTATTCCCAATGAATGTGTTCCATAGTTTTGTGTTCATGATCCACAAAACTATCATCGAATCCGCTCAAAAGTATGTCTTCAAAGGAAAATTCAAAACTTTTGACTATTGTCGAACCAATTCTAGTTCCCACAGCAGCTCTGAAGAGCTCTTGTTACAGAATTGTCGGCCTCTTAACAGAAGCTGTTATAGCGCATGCCAAAATCATTGAGATTTCTCCCTTTTCTTTTCACCGTGGAATAGTACAGCAAGCATACCCTTGAATATAAGTAAATATCTGTAAGCAACCATTTCGAAAGTTCCTTCCAATATCCTTTGAGGAATTCTACTTTTTTCAACAAGATCTAAAATGTTTAGCCTATTTCTGATGACGGAATTAAAAATCGGATGATAAATCTTCGTTCCAGCCCAACTGATTGTGCCATGCTTCTTGAATTAGTAACTTTGGCAATAGCATCACAGATGACGTAAAGTCTGTGGGGTCATGTATGCTGTTAATAACAAAACGTAACATCCTCTTCGTAACAACTTCTATCAATTCCATATCAGCTCGAGGACCAACGCAGGAAAGTTCATCAGTCTCTGCATTTCACTTAAGACTGAGTAAGCTCTGACATTTCTGATACTGAACTCCATCGTGAGCCAACATCTCAGTTCAAATGACGCTTCATTCATTAATTGTATAGCTTGAGATTTCATTTGCTCCAGTTCTTTTACGTCGTTAACAAGTGTGACAAGGTTGTCAACGTAAACCCTTTTTCTCAGTTGAAGAGATGCCAAAAACCACTCGGCAATGTCTATACATCTTGAGGTTGGTGCGTTCAGCATCTTTCCACCAAAAGAACCTTAGTACACTGGTGAGCAAAACTGAAGCAACAGGTGTTCTTTTTGACATAACTCCACGAGATGTCATCTGAGAGACATAAAATTCAGAAATAAGAGACAGCATTTTGTATTTAAATGATGACGAAAGCATAATTGCGCAAAAATGAATACAATGCATACAGTATGGAATTAAACAAAAACAGGCTTTATTGAACTCATAGTATCGTTACACATGATTCTATATGAGGAAGAACAACAAGCAGATGTTCCTTAGTATGGGATATGCCCTCCCCTTACTGCAATGGTTGCTTCTCACCGCTCCCCATACTCAGCACCAGATTGTCCAACAGATCTTGAGGTGAGAGTGCCCATTCCTCAATCAGCATCTGTTTCAGCTGTTGGGTGTTCGCCAGAGGATGTAATCGTGCCTCAAGGCGTCTCCCCA